AACAATAGCAGAACAATAGAAGCTAACAGGAGACATCAGCCATCAGCCAAGTAGAAATTGCCAAACACTCCTTAAGAATACAAAGCCCACATTGCACAAATCCCAGAACTTCAAAGTCACAAAAGCACATAAGAATCTTTCCACTCTTTATCTCCCTCCCTCCGTGTATTACCTCCAGCTGATGCTACCTTTCTTCATTCCTCCTGGAGGGCAACCCCTCCCCTGCTGCATTTCTTGCCTGTTTGTTGCTGCCAGCACAGGTGGCTGCCACAGAAGTTATAGATCGGCTCATGGCTGGCCTGCTTGAACTCCTTGATCTCCTCTCCTCTCCCCCCCACCCTCCTCCTTCAGTGCAGCTAGAGCTAACTCCACATCCTCTCGAGGCTGCTTCTTTTTCCCTCTCCTGCCCAAACTGCCTCCTTTTATAGCTTCTCCTGTCTCCCCCCCTCCTCCTCCTCCTTTCTCATGGAGGAGAGTAATCCAAAAGTGAGCCTGGAGTGAGGCTCAGCCTGGAGTGACTCTCTCTGCAGCTCCAGAGGACTCTCTCACAGTAAGTCCTTGCCTGCACTGGCTCTTTCCCTCCCCCATTACACTTGGTAGCAGGGCTGTGTACCACCTGCCACTCGTTAATGTACCACAAGTGTACCCACCGGTTGAAAAGCCCTGATCTAGTCTCATAACTTTGGAAGACTTAACTACCTAACACTCAACTTTAATTGCTATGAAGACTAGTAAGTTAGGTGAGCTTTTGTGAATAATCTAGTCACTCAACCTCATAAATTTTGGATGATGAAATAGTGCTAAAACTCTAGGTTTCATATTTTAAGGAAATGAAAACTAATATGTTATGTAAATCTTCTTCAAAATTTAGATCATTTAACCTCATAATTTTGGAAGGTTAACTATTGTTCAACTGTTAGTTGCAATAAAGACTAGTATTTTTTGTAAACTTTTCTGAAAATTTTGATCATTCAATGTCATAAATACAGTGACTAACTAGCTATGTTTCAACAGTTAATGGCAATGAAGAATACCAAGTTACATAAGCTTTTATGAAAATTTTGGTCATTCAACCTCATATATTTTGGATGACTAAAGATCTAAGCTTCACATCTTAAGAAATGAAAACTAGTGTGTTTCATAAGTTTTCAGGAATGTTTAGATCATTTAACTTCATAACCTTGGAGAACTAAGTACCCAAGCTTCAAGTTTTAATTGCAATGCCTAGTAAGTTATATACTTAAAAAAAATCATATAACCATATAAACCCCGCTGTCTTAAATGTGGACAGGTTGCCCAAACGCTGAATTTTGATCATGTCACCTGTAAAAATTAGCATAATGCTAGAGATACATGTGAAGCTTCCCTCCCCCCCCCTTTTTTTTTTAGCTCAAAACAACCATTTCCAGAAATCAACAATAACTTTAGAGGGAATCCTTTGGATGTAGTGATTAATCAGTTCAAAACATTCCTTCATCTGGATCTGGACAATCTTCCAAGCACACAAATTGTAGTTCTTATTTTTCAAGAAGTCATGGAGCCTTTGGAAGTATCTTTTTACTCTCAACCTGGTCAGCTGCAATTTTTGATTCCTGGGAGATGTGGTGACTTGTTTCAGCTCTGAATTCTCACATGCTTCCAGCATCTTAATCTGCTGATCCAGTCCAATGTGGAAATCTTTTAAGGAGACTTTGTGCCAAACCAGTTTAGTATGACTTTGTTTGAAGATAATGCCTATCTGTTGGAGGATTTCTTTAACAGCTGTTTTTGCAACGTCTACTTGGGATTCATCATTCATATCAATCAATATTTTTTCAGTGGCTTCAAATGAAAAAATAATGTCCTTGATACATTGAAGAGGAATGGTTGATCCTATATTGCTACTTAGAAGATTGAAGTTGACCTGGTTGGCTTTTAGTAGCTTCCTCTGAAGTTGGTTACAGTTCTGAGAAGAGATTCCACCAAAGGAGATTATCCATATGCAAATATAGAGACAGCAATTGTTCATAATCATGGTGAAGGTGAGATAGTAATTGCTGATTAGCTCTTTCAAAAAATTTTCTGAGATCTGCTACATATTTCATTTAGTTGTGGTATTTATATCATCAGGGATTAAACTTCCCTACGGTTAGTAATGTCTACATAAATTTTGATAACTAACTAACATAAGGTTCAACTTTCAATGAAAACTAATGTATTATGTAACCTTCATTAAATTTTTGGTTATTTGACCTTAAATTTTGCGGGACAAATTACCTAAAGTTCAATTCCTAATAGGCATGGAGACTAGTATGACACATAAGTCATCAAAGTTTAATTCATTTAAGCTCATAACTTTGGAAAACTAATTAAGCTTCAACAATTAATTGCAACAAGGATAAGTATGTTTCATAGGCTTTTATAAAATTTTGGGGTCACTAAAACCTCATAAATTTTGGATGACTAAAGAATTAAGTTTCACAGTAAAATAAAAACTGGAACATTACTAAGCTTTCATCAAAGTTCAGATCATTTAACCTCATAACTTTGGAAGACTAACTACCTAAGCCTCAACTTTTAATTTTGCAATGAAGACTAGTATATTTCCTAAGCTATCATGAAAATTTTGGTCATTCAATCTTATAAATTTTGGATGACTAACAACTTTCAAATATTAATGGCAATGAAAACTGGTAGGTTAAGCTTTTATGAAAATATTGGTCATTCAACCTCATAAATTTTGAATGACTAAAATTTTGGATGACCTAAGTTTCAGCTGTTAATTGCAATGAACAATATAAAGTTGTATAAACTTTTATGCAAACTCATAAAGTTTGAATGACTAAAGTTTTGGATGAGCTAAGATTCAACTGTTTATTGCCATGAACAATACAGAGTTGTGTAAGCTTTTATGAAACTTTTGATCATTTAGCTTTTTTTGGATCTCTAAAATTTTGGATGTCCTAAATTTTAACTGTTAATTGCAACAAAGAATAAAAAATTGTGTAAGCTTTTGTGAAAACTTTGGTCATTCAACCTCAGACGTTTTGGATGACTAACTAGCTAACTTTCAAATATTAATGGCAATGAAAACTGGTAAGTTAGGTAAATTTTTATGAAAAATTTGGTCATTCAACCTCACAAATTTTGGATGACTAAAGTTTTGGATAACCTAAGTTTCAACTATTAATTGCACCAAATAATGCAAAATTGTGTAAGCTTTTGTGAAAATTTTGGTTATTCAGCCTCAAATTTTGGATGACTAAAGACCTAAATTTCACATTTTAAGGAAATGAAAATTAGTATCTTACCTAAGGCTTCATCAAAATTTAACTCATTTAACTTAAAAATGTGGAAGACTAACCAACTGAATCTCAACTGTTATTTTCAGTGAAGACTAGCAAGCTAGGTAAGCCTTTGTGAAAAATTTGGTCATTTAACCTCAAAATTTTGGATGACTAAAGACCTAAGTTTCACATTTTCACACAATGAAAACTAGAATGTTACCTAAATAAGCATCAGATTTTAGATCATTTCACCTCAGAACTTTGGTAGACTACCTAAGCTTCATCTTTTAATTGCCATGAAGAATAGTATGTTTCACAAACTGTCATAAAAATTTTATGCATTCAATCTGATCAATTTTGGAGGGCAAACTGTCTAAAGTTCAACTCGTAATAAAAATGAAGAGTAGTACTGGTATGTTATGTAAATCTTCACCCAGGCTTAGATCATTTAACCTCATAACCTTGGAAGACAAACTACCTAAGCTCTAACTGTGAACTGCAACAAAGACTAGTATGTTTCATAAGCTTTCATGAAAATTGTGGTCATTCAACCTCACTAATTTTGAATGACTAAAGTCCTAGCCTTCGTATTTTAAGGCAATTAAAACTGTACGTTATATAAGCTTTCATCAAAGTTTGCTTCATTTAATGTCACAACATAGAATATAGAATATGAAATAAAAGGATTGGGAGGAACCTTAGAGGTCTTCTAGTCCAAACTCCTGTCTAATCTATACTACTCCAGACAAATGGCTGCCCAGTGTCTTCTTGAATACCTCCAGTGATGGAGCACTGACTCAGGCTTTATTAAGGACAAAAGAGTTACTTTTCACTTAATTACGTCTTAGTGAAATAGTTTCTAAAAACAGTTTAGACCAGGGCTGGCTCAGGAATTCTGGGAGTTGAAGTCCACAAGTCATAAAAAGAGTCAAGGTTGCCTACCCCTGGTTTAGACAGATCAGAATTTTTTATCTGACAGGAGAGGGGAGAGAAAAATAAACTTATGGAGTTTTCACCTTGATCTGCACTTGTATCAAATGAAACGGGACAAAAGAAAAATACACACAAATATTACAGTAATGGTCTCTCACTGTCCAGCCAATCAACATAGAATTTTGCCAGCTGTAGCTTGGCAGTCCCTTATCAAATAGCAGATAAGATGTTCTTGAGAGCCGGCCTTGAAAAGCCAACCTTTACAGCACTTTGGATGGAAAGCTGAACTCCTACCTTCTTTATCATCAGAAGATCAGTCTTTTAAAAATAAATCATGTCAAGCACTAGGTTTTGGCTATATGTTTCTTTTTTAATGTGAGAGGGGAATGAAGCAAGTAAGAAATCTTCCCCTTGATCTCAAAAAGCTGATTGAAATCCAACGGAAACCCAGACCATATACCTCTTCCTACACAACATCCTGAAATGGAGCTAAGTTAGAAGCGAGGGATTTAAATGTTTATAATAAAGAAATGGTATTTTTCTTATAATTGATTTTTTTTCAAGAAATACATGCTGTTTTCTAAATAGTAGCCACTTCTCCAGCTAGCACTTTTCATCTATATAAGTTTTTAAATAAATATATATATATTGAAGCAGAAAAGTGAAAGTCAAGGTATCTTCACATTATACACTGAAAAAAAAGTGTAATACTTCAATGTATAAATACAGAGACATTATTTAGCACTACAACGTATTCCAAAGAATCTTTCCAGGGAATAAACCTTGAAACCCTCATCCAACATGTCTACTATGACCACAAGATATTGGTGTCTGTTCACTTGCCTAGGGATCTTCTTCACTGAAATTTCATCCCAAGATTGTAACCAACTTCACAGCAGGCTACATGAAGCCAACTTGGGCAACTTGAATCTCCTAACAAGAAATATAGGATCAACCATTCCCCAACAATGTATCAGGGACATCATAGATTCCTCACTCTATACCAGTGAAGAAAATCTAATGAATATGGTAAACAAATTACAGGGGGAGAATGCCAAGGTAGCTATTAAAGAACTTCTCCAACAGATAGACCTCATCTTCAAGGAAAGCCATAGTGAATTAGTTTGGGATAAGAACTCACTAAGAGAATTCCACATTGGACTGGATCAAGAAGTAAGGAAGATAGAAACTTGCTGGAATACTGAGGTGGAACATGGCATCAGATCTCCAAGAGGTCAGAAACGGCAGTTCACCAGGCTGAGAGTGAAAAGATATTTTCAGAGGCTCAGAGACTTCTTGAAAAACAAAGAGTACAATCTGTGTGCCTGGAAGGTTATCCAGATCCAAATCAGAGAATGTTTTGAGTGGATTAACCAACTCAATCAAAAAATTCCACGTGAAGGTACTTAGATAATCACTCCAAATTGAATATTTCTAGCATACAATTGAATATTTCTAGGATACAGTGCAGTCCTTTTAATCAACTCAGTAAAAGGTTTTCATCATTTTGATTTGTTATTTGAAAGCAAAATGTAATGCTTGCTCTATTCTGCTACATAAATTTAAAAAAGAAAAAGATATATCCAGAATGTCAGCACTGTATTTTAAAATAGGTTAGAAACTGGAATAGAATCTTTCATTTTTTGTGAGTGGTATGCATATGTTAAAAATGTTCAGTTTAAAAAAGGAAAATGTTTTATAATTACAATACTTGTAAAACTCAATTTTAAAACTTCTCTTTTTGTTCTAGGTTGATGTGCTCTCAGTGATGCAACAAAATTAGAAAAATGAAATCATTCATCTTTCACTGGTGACTTTGACACATCTTCAGAAAACATAAAATTCTTTTTTTACCGCTTCCTGAATTCTTTTACTTAAGTAAAAATAGAAGTCAAAATGTCAGAATCTCTATAAAATATCCACCTATTGAAAAACATTCTTTCCACCTTCTGAAACCTTTTGAAGTTTTGTTGCTTACGATTTTCATCATGAAATATGTTTCCTAGGTTTTCTTTCCATTTAATTAATGTATATTTATGTTGTGATGATTACGACAAGATATTTAAAGGCACTTCATATTGAAACCAAAATTTAAGACTTTTGGACTTCAATTCCCCATGCTGGCTGTGGAATTCTGGGAGTTGAAGTCCACATGCCTTAAAATTGTCAAGTTTGGGAAACACTGCCCTAGAACATTCTCTGAATGCCTTGGGAATTTTCTTTCTTTGGCAAGAAATCCGCACCAAACAGATTTCCTTGAAATAAAATTGATACTAAAAGAAAAAGATAGTAGTTTAAGTTTAGCTAGATAGCCAGCTTTCCATGGAAGCATAAGGTTTTGTATTAAAAAAAATCAGTGACTGTAACACTTATGAAGTATTATCATGTATATATACCTTTAAAAAGCTAAATATAATATTACTGTATTTTTTTCCATTGTAAATGGCAATCCGCTTAAAACATAAAATATTATTGTTGTGTAATCTGAAATCTTATTTATGTTGCTTATGAATATTGATTTATTTTTGTATATTGTATATTTTTGTTGGTTTTATTTATTTTGAATTATCTATTTATTAAAAATGGTAGCTCTAGCCATATTGTCAGTTTGTATTATTCCATGTATTTGGAAAGTATTGTGGTGAGTTACCTTTATAGCTATTTTTGGATTGCAATTACAGCATTTACAGTTTAACTTGGTGCTTATTTATATGGAAATTGATGTCAGCTGATCAATAAAACTTTCTCTCCCAAAAAAATATGGATATGATAGCACATTAATTTAACTTTTCATTAAATGTTTTTAAAACCAGTGGAAAGCATAAAAAACTAACAAATCTGGCCAATAAATAACATTTCAGATATTTTCCCCTTTATATGATCTAGATTAGGAAATAATATGCACATAATCTGCTTTTACAATTCTTTTGGCCCAACTAAATGTGATTATGTTCCTGCAATTACTAATTCACAAAATGGATTTTAAGCCCAAATGGTATAGGGCAGTGATGGCGAACCTTTCAGAGACTGAGTGCCCAAACTGCAACCCAAAACCCACTTATGCATCGTCAGGTGCCGGTGGCCGAGTGTGGCCCATAAGGTGGGCGTGGCTGCGGTGGTAATGGCAGATTGGGTGGGACTAAAAAGTTCAATCAATTCCAATTTTGCAAGATCTTTTTTTTCCAAGAAGTTAAAATTGACTAATTGAACCTTTTTTTTTTTTTTTTGCACACAGCGGCAGAGGCCTAAAGCGAAAAGGTTTTATAAAACCCAGCTGAAGGCCTAGGACTGGGGCGACGGCGCACGTGCCTACAGAGAGGGCTCTGAGTGCCGCCTCTGGCACCTGTGCCATAGGTTCGCCACCACTGGTATAGGACTATAGAGTATACAGTAATTTACTCTTGGTCAATTTTATACACAAACAGGGATTTTTAAAAAATGAGTCCAAAAATCAATGCAGAAATTATATTCACTTTTCTGAATGTTCTAGAAAATTTATGTTAAGAACTTCTTGCCTGTGGCTCTTTTTTATGTAAATTATTCCACACAAATGGGAAGCTTTAACCGTTTTTCTGTATTCGAGCTTAACTATCAATTAGAGTACAATGTACAGATTTGAATTCCACCATCAATCTTTCCCAAAATACTTACTGTCTCATAATATATTTCATTGCTAAATAACCCATTCAATTAAAATTAGTGAACTACAATTTGAAATACAAAAGCTTACTCAGAAGCTGGAGATTGACTCCAGATACAATCAAACCAGCATCTCTCTAACAAAGTTATCTCCAGTTTCTGCAAATTTTATGACTTCAAAAGTTCTCTGAACTTTTATCATATCAGCAAATTGTGACATTCAGACTATGAAAGGCCAACATGTTAAGTGAAGCTTGTCGCAAATTTATACATAGTTTATTAAAACCTATAGCTGCAAATAAATGTGCTTACTTATTAATATACCAAGAGTGATATATATATATATATATGTTTTCTGAGGTTTTCGCGGGTATTTGTATGTAGGTCTTTGGTTGTTCGGGTTTTCTCCCGCGTAAAATTGGACATATATGTATATATATGTTTAACCCACTTATACTGATGCCCTTATTACATAACGAAATGTAAGATATATATTGGAGGGGCTAAATTTGTATTGTTTTGCAATCAATTGGATATGTGGTTACTTATTTTCTTGTTAATTACTTATATGATGTCTTTAGTGTTATTTATATTTTCATTCAAAATTATAAATGCTCTTTGCTCTCTTTTGTTTATTTTCATAGTGAGGTATTGAAAATAAAACTAGTTAATTTTCTCCATCTGCTGCAAAGCCAGTAAAACTTCATTTCAATAAAAACTGTCCCTGTTGGAAGTTCTGGGATTCCTTTGCAATCCCACATTGCAGATCAGAAAAAAATATATGAAGTTTTGTGGAGATGGGGTTAGAAATTCTGTCCGATGAGCTAATGCATAAGAAAAAAAAAGGATTTTTTTTTTCAAAAGAATAGTAAATGCTAAAGGACTTCCATCCTATTGTTTGTTAAGCATTCATGATATCAGGGCAAATTATTACTATTCAAGAGGGGAGAATAAAAAGTACAGCCAGTTTATCCTAGAGTGTTTGAGTGTTTCTTTTCTTTTGTTATTGTTTTGCTTTGCTACTATTATTTGATTTTATTCCTAGTTTATACTAATATACACACAAACACACACATATGCACATACGTACACATTTAATTAAAAAAAACAGAAAAAGAGTGTGCCAATCAGACAAATACAAAATAACAGAAAGGGACCTTGAAGATTTTGTAATCCAACCCCCTGCTCAAGCAGGAAAGTCTATATCAGGGGTCCCAACCCCCAGTACGTGGACCAGTACCGGGCCACAGCATGCCAGCAACTGGTCCACACAAACAAGCAAAGCCCCATCTGCGGGATGCAGGCAGTACATGAAATCATGTCCCCTTCGATCTGCAGAAAAATCTCTCTCCACGGAACCGGTCCCTGGTACGCAAAAGGTTGGGGACCTCTGCCCTATACCATACCATTTCAGACAAATTTGTCCAATTTCTTCTTAAAGCCTCCAGTGTTGAAGCACCCACAACTTCTAGAGGCAAGCTTTTTCACTGATTAATTGTTCTGTCAACAAATTTCTTCATGTGTTGCTTCGTGTCCTGCCTTCAAGTGCTTTGATCCCTTCTTCTTTGTGGCAACCCCTGAGATATTGAAACACTGCTATTGTGTCACTCCTAGTCTTTCTTTTCATTAAACTAGACATACCCAATTCCTGCAGTTGTTCTTCATATGTTTTAATTTCTAGTCTCTAATCGTCTTTATTGCTCTTCTCTGCACTCTTTCTAGGCTCAACATCTTTTTTATATCAGAGACCAAAACTTGATGCAATATTCCAAGTGTGGTCTTACCAAGGCACTATAAAGTCATACTATCACTTCATATGTTGATGACACTTAGTTATGCATCTCTTTTTTGGTCCAAGGTTCCATTCCAGTGTCTGGAGCTTGGGGATGGGGAAGAATGATTTTAGCTCAACTCTGCTAAGTCTTGAGGGTCCTACAGAAAATGTCTATCTTCATCTAGAGCAGAGGTCACCAACTTTTCTCGGCTGACAGACCAGAGGGAAAGGGACGTGGAAGCATTTTAAATGTGCACATGCGCAGGTGCACACACGCAAGGGGCTGCAAGCACACAAGCGATGCAAACAGGGCAGCGCTAGTGCCCACATGATACTCACTAGCCCTGCCCTGTTCTTGTGTGGCAAAGCACCCATTTTCACACCCCGCAACATGGCAGCATCCCATTTTTACACCCCATGGTGGCATCCCATCTTCGTGCCCCGCAGCATGGTGGCATCCCGTTTTGGCCCCAATGGTGCAGTGTCGTGCTTTTTTTGTGTCCTGTAGCATGGCATTGACCTGTTTTTGTGCCCCTTGGCCGTGGCGCTAGAGCAAGTGGGGGGATGTCCATGCATATGTGCTTGCACTGGCCAGCCTGTCCTGCAGTCCAGTGGCCAGTAGGCCATGACCCACTACCTGGCGTCGGTTCGCAGCTTGGAGACTCCTATCTAGGGGCAACACTCTCCCAAAGAGAGTTAGGGCAATTTAGAGGTCTTTCTGGGCTAATGGCTCCTGCTCAAAGACAGTGGTAATTAGGAGGGTTTTTGTATAGGTTTGTGTTATATAGAAATCTTTTGCTGTTGCCTCCATTAACTGGAGACCTTACTCACACTAATTCATACTTCCAAGTTGGATTACCATAATTTGCTATACAATATCAAATACAATACAGTATCATACAACAGTGAGAACAATTAGTCAGTGGAATGGCTGGCCTTCAAAAGCTGTGGGTGCTCCAGCACTGGAGGTTTTGAAGAAGAGACTGCACAACTATTTGTCTGAAATGGTATAAGGTCTCCGGCTTGGGCAGGAGGTTGGTCTAGAGGACCTCCAAGGTCCCTTCCAACTCTACTATTTTGTACTCTGTTATTACAATTAGCCACAATAGAAGTAGTCTTAGCCTTCTGGTGGAGTTGATTCTTGGAGACCCACCCCCAAGAGAAAACCTTCCTAAAGGAGTAAGAAGAAATCCCCATAAGATAACACCCTGGCCTCTTTATTTTCCTTTAAACTCCTTATGCCATCTGCCAGTACTGCTTATTAAGAAGGAGTGAGGTGTGCTGGGTATGTTTGCCACTTTGAGTTATTTTCAAAAATAATAAAGGTAGGATACAAATATATAAATAACACTAATAAAAATGTGCTATGTTTTTAATGCAGATTATAGTTTAAATCACCTATATGATAACATGCCAGTGTTTGTGTCGATCAAGATGTGATCAGATGTTATGGAAACAGCTTCACGAATTAAGGGAGTTGACAACTTTATTAAAAGAGGATTTTTGATCTTTTGGATTAAGTTGAAGAGTGCCTAAAATGTTGGCATTCATGAACTTGTATGATATTATCTTTGTAATATATTTATGTTATTTATAATTGTTATGAAAAGGAAGGAAGGAAGGAATGCCCTATACATGCCCTATACAGAAAACCAACAAAATAGACGAAATAATCCAAAATACCACTTTTATTTGGAGTTACATTTTAATAGCATTTAAAATAGACTTCTTGAATTTTAACAAGCAATGAAGACTAGCATAGTTTAAATATGTCACATAAATAAATAAATAAATGGATAGATAAATAATATAAATAAATGAATAGTAAATAAATATTGGCCAGCAATGTTTACATTGTTTTGTTATAACGACAAAACAAAAATAAATAAATAAATAATACTGCAATTCTCTAGTGGAATTAATATTTAAAAAAAGAATAAAAATATTTTGTAAAATAGTTTGACCAGTATTACAACTGCGGGGCTTGAACATCTGCACTCAGTAGTTATTTTGGACCTCATCTATTCTCTTGAGTGTGTTCCACCAAATTTTATCCCTAGAAAAATCATTCAACATAATTTATCTCCAAAGAAAGCTAAGGTAGCAAAATTGGTTTGTTATCTTTCCCAAAGTTGCTTCTCTTTATTGACTTTGTGGTTCGAGTGGTCTGGTAGAGTCAAATGGATCGTAGAACTTTCAGTAGCAATTAAATCAGCTTTGCAGGTGCATTGCGACATCTTTTGCTATGTTTCATACACAATAGAGTGGAAACGACTTCCGTCTGGTTGGTGTGATTTCCCTGGGTTTCAATGGTGGTAAATCTTCCAGTCGTCTCTCGTGTCACATCAACTATTTCTGTTAGTGAATTGAAACTTCCTTGAATCACTGAGTTCAGTTAGATATAATTTCAATTCTACTGGTTTCATTTGACATTAGGATCACGTATTTTACCCTGTATATAATACCACAGAAAGGTGTATTATGTTTAAGGGAATTGGGTGAACGAAGGAACACAATTTTATCTTTTCACATAGAATTCTTTGATAAAAGTTCACATTGGAATCTGTGGAAACATAGGACAATTTGTTGAAGCTTGACAAATTCTGCAGAAGAACCTTTCGCAATTTGTTTCAGAAGGACTTTTTCTGTGGATTTCCAATTTTTTGAAGAAGGCTCCATTGTTTTACTTTACTTTTCATTTTGTAACTTCACGAAGCAATCCAGTCAAAGGGAAAGTAGAAAGAGGAAACCTCAGAAAGCTTACTCTCTAGGAATAAGTGAAAGGCATCGAGTGAAAGCTGAGTGGGTTCATGTTCCTGCTTTTGTAGCGTCATAGAGAGCAAGTCAAGCTAGAAGGAAAAGGAAAAAACAGTTAGGAATCCCTATTCTTGTTAAGAATTATTTAAACTGTTAAACATTTTAATTCAAATTAATAAACCTAGTTTTCTCCTTGCTTTGTATAAAAGTGCCCTATACTTTTCTACCTAGCCTAATTTAAGCAAAGTAATTCCTAAAATGTTGGTTTCGTGAAAACTTTATGTCTACATTCAAAAGTCAAAGAGTTGTAGTAATTTAATTAAAAGACGTAGTCTAGATGCTAGAGATGTAGGTTGAGCTATATATTAGCTAAATATAATCATAACATCTACATAGTGGTTTCTTTTTTAGATGCAAAATGGCCAGTCAGAGGTCTTTTAAAAGAAACCGTACAATATAGGAAAAAGAATCTGTATTGTAATTCCAAATTGGGGATTTGTAGAGTGAGATATTTTTATAGAATGAGATTTATGTTTTCATGGACACCATTCGATAATCCTATATTCACAGGGTTCACAAATGAGTTGTGCCATCACTTGGTTTCTTCATAGTTGCTGTATTAGAGATCTAACAGCAACTTGAAGGACAATTCAGAGATGAAATAGAAAACTTCTAGCCTAAAGTATTCAGTGGGAGCCACTATAGTTAAGAATGTGGAAAAAGAGTGTAGCAATTATTCCCATCTAAGAATACAGAAAAACCTCAATGTAGACTGTTAAGAAAGATATTCTGTCAATGACATCAAACGTAATAGTCAAGTAATTCATACAATGTTTCTCAAAAGAATCATGAGGAATATTTGGGGAAGACAGAATTTTGATGTATACAGTATATCAAAAGAAGTAAGGGTAAATTTTCCTAGTTTCCTAATTTTCCTTTAAATTCTAGTCAAAAATAATTTTTAAGAAGTACATGATACCTTGAATTGGAATCCTTTGGATAAGTTGATGAATCAGTAGGAAACATTCAGAGGACAATTCAGAGACAAAATAGAAAATCTCTAGCCTAAAGTAATCAATGGGAGCTATATAGTTAAGAATGTGGAAAAAGAGTGTAGCAATTATTCCCATATAAGAATACAGAAAAACCTCAATGTAGATTGTTAATAAAGATATTCTGTCAATGACATCAAAACATAATAGTCAAGTAATTTCTGAAAAGAATCATACAGAATTTTTGGGGTGGACAGAATTTTGATGTATACAGTATATCATAAGAAGTAAGTGTAAATTTTCCTAATTTTCTAATTTTCCTTTAAATTCTAATCAAAAATATTTTTTAAGAAGTACATGATACCTTGAGTTGGAATCCTTTGGATAAGTTGATGAATCAGTAGGAAATATTCTCTGAGTTGGATCTGGACAATCTCCCAGGCACACAAACTGTATTTCTTATCTTTCAGGTAATCGTTCAGCCCTTGAAAATGCCTCTTCACTCTTAATCTGGTGAGCTGCACTTTCTGATCCCTTGGAGATATGGCACCACCTCCTAACTCTGCATTTTGGCATGTTTCCAGTTTCTTAATCTGCTCATCCAATCCAGTATGGAATTGTCTTAGGGAATTCTCATCCCAAAACAATTCGGCATGAACTTGCTTAAAGAGGAGGTCTGTCTGTTGGAGCATTTCCTGTATTGCTCTTTTGGCATCCTCTTCATGGGATGCTTCATCTATGCTCATTAAATGTTCTTCACTGAGAGGTGAGAAGTCTATAATATCCCCGATACATTTTAAGGGAATGGTGGCTCTCATTTGACTTCCCAAGAGTTCCAAGTTTCCTTTGTTGGCTTCCAGTAGTCTGGTGTGGAGTTGGTCACAGTGCTGAGATGAGATTTTGGTGAAGAACATCACCAGAGAGATTTGCAGAAACCAAAGTTGTGTCTTCATAATGGAGATATAGGAGTATGACCTCTTTTAAAATGTAGAATCTGGAAGATTGGTTCTTCTGAAAGATGCTCCTGAGTCTGCTGCATCTTTGTATTTATGCCACTAGGATACTGCAATTTCTTTTTTCTGTTTCTCTACTGATTCTCTATATTATGGTTTTCACTTTTCTTCTTCCTCATGTATACCCCCCAAGCCATTCTGAAAAGTGGTCACTGTTTGGGAAACTGAATGTTGAATGTGTACATTCCCTCCAAAATTAAATTAAATGAAAACTAATGGTGAAAATTAACAATCATGCGCAACTTTCTTTCATCTTTCCTAAATATTTTAAAAAATGAATGCAAAATAGGGGTTTTTTTGTGTTGTAATAGATATTATGACTTCAGTATTTACTTGTTCATGTAAAATAATTTCTGATAGTCTAGAATTGTCCCAGTGATAAATCCTGTAGGATTTTGTACTCACCTGGTTGTACAAAGCAAATCACATATAGATAATATTGATGAATTATGAATAACTATATAGATGGTCCTCAACTTATAACCGTAACGGAGCCTGTCAATTATGGTCATAAGTCATAAGGACAGTGTTGGGAGAATTTCCATGGGTCCCTTTTCTTCCGAGTCAGGAAAAAAACCACAAACAATCAAAACGCAAGACGACCGCCTGGAAAGGAGGTCTCTCTTTTTTTATTTCCAAAAGTGAGATAAAGTTATTTTGGACGCAGATGGCAACTGACCGGCACATCAGCAAGATTTTTATAGGAATTTGAGGCCTCTGTGAAGGAAATGTGAGCATGCTGTACTTAGGAGGAATTTAGAGGAAATATTTTGCTGGTTATCTCTTTTATCAGAAAATATCTTCCTGGTTAGACATAGGGTTTTGTCAGTGTCTTTTATGGGTGTAAGAAGGATGGACATAGGTGTTAAATTTCCATGCCTTTTAAATGTGGATTGGCTGCAGTGATCGATTCCTACCTGTCGGTACTCTGAACCGCTTTGAACCGCTACTTACTGGTTCTTCAAATTATTATTTTCTTCCGTGTATCTAAGATTGTGAGACAACATATCACCGCTATTGTCAATTAGCGGTTAAAGGTTTGCTTTCTGTAGTTTATTTCCATCTGTCCGTCATCTTAGCACCTTGAGCGATCTTCAGCACTTTGAATCTATTACTTTCCTGACTTTTGGAAGTTTTGGGAATATATATTGTATCTCTGTTTTAATTGGTTAAGGAACCATTGTATTTTATGAATGGAGAGGAGCTTTCTCCTTCTTCAGAAGCGTTGCTAGCAGATAGCATAAGGAGCTTAAAGGAAAATAAAGAGGATTTCTTCTTACTCCTTTAGGAAGATTTTCTCTTGCGGGGGGGGGTCTCCTGATTTGGGGGTGAGGACGTTCAAAATAAACTGTATAGGAGAATAAGCAGGGTTTGGAAGAAACCTTGCAGGTCTTCTAGACGAATCCCCTTCCAAAGCAGGAGACCAATTCAGTTAATGGGGGTAGTACACCATCCAGAGTTGGTAACCAATGTTCTCCAGGTTCAGAGAATCTTCCAATTCACAGCCACCCAGTCTTGCTAGGGTTGAGTTAGACCTATTTCTTCCCATCCACACATAACATATGCACAATATGCTGCACATTTTATGACATCCATAGTTCACAAATCAGAGTAACACTCTCACATTTTGTTCTAAGGGAAACCAAACAAATCACATTTCCCCCACATTTTACAGAATTTATTATTCTGCAGACAAAAAGGGAAAGAAACATTAAAATATAGAATATTTGGGATCAAAATATTTGTTCACAACAGGAGATAAGTAAACACTGGCAAGACTAGACATTTTGCCATCGCTGATATTGTGCATGTGTATTTTTCTCTTTCTTTCTCTGTCTCTCTCTCTCTCCCCCAGGTTGACCAATCCAAGAATCAACTCCACCAGAAGGCTAAGACTACTTCTAGTGAGGATAATTACAGTAATCAAATTTTGCGATTTAGATTGTTGAGAAGCCCTATGTATCACCCTTGGAAGTCATGTTTAATCTCTCCTCTAATCACAAATTATTGGGATCATTTCCCACAGACTTTTGTGTGTCTCTTATTAAACAAACAAGAACATAAAAGCTCCATGAAGATGGCTGAATTTCATGCCATAATAATAGTAGTCAGAGGTGAACATAATATTTACAGACTACAGAGTACAGAATAGTAGAGTTGGAAGGGACCTTGTAGGTCCTCTAGACCAACCTCCTGCCCAAGCCAGAGACCTTATACCATTTCAGACAAATAGTTGTGCAGTCTCTTCTTCAAAACCTCCAGTGCTGGAGCACCGACAACTTTTGAAGGTAAGCCATTCCACTGACTAATTGTTCTCACTGTTGTATGATATTGTATTGTAGTTGATATATTGTATAGCACATTACGGTAATCCAACTGGGAAGTATGAATTAGTATGAGTAGGGTCCCCAGTTAAGGGGGGCAGCAGCAATAGATTCCTATATAACACAAACCTATGCAAGTTAGGATGCCGCTGAATGAGGGGAATTATGATCCTTTCTCATAGCTGCAGCCGTTGAATTGTGCCCATCAACACAAGAACGTGATTGGGTGCTTGACAACTGACTCACAATGATGATGATTGCAGTATCCCACAGACATGTGATCACCATTCATGACCTTGGCTGCTGGTTTCTGGCAAGCAAGGTCAATAGGAAAGTTGGCAGGAAGTCCCAAATAGTGACCTCATAACAGTGGGATGCTGGAATTGCAGGGGATTTGCCTAATAACGCAGTTGCCATTGTTAAGTTACCTCAGTCACATGACATTGCATTCTACAATTGTGTTGCTTAGCAGCCATTGTTAAATGAGAACTACCCATAAATAAAGTACACACACATACAGGTAGTCCTTGACGTACGACCACAATTGAGCCGAAAATTTATGTTGTTAACCGAGACATTTGTTAATTGAATTTTGCCAGAGTTTACAACCTTTCTTGCCACAGTTGTGAATCACTTTAGTTAAGTGAGTAACACCATTGTTAAGTGAATCTGGCTTCGCCATTGACTTTTCTTGTCAGAAGGTTGCAAAAGGTGATCTCATGATTCTCGACACACTGTAACAGTCAGAAATATGAATCAGTTCTCCAGCGTCTGAGTTTTGATCATATGATCAAGGGGGATGCTGCAGTGGTTGTAAGTGTGAAAAAAAGTCGCTTTTTCAGTGCCATTGTAACTTCAGAAGTTCACTAAATGAACTGTTGTAAGTTGAGGACTATCTGTATATGGCTATTTCTTGTGAAGGGCTTGGTTGTTTTCTGTCTGAACTGGGATGAAAGTCTGATCAGAAGCCTCTGAATGATGATGTTTTCTTTCTACATCGATAGAGCCCTTCAAGTATTAGTGTAACTGAAGCAGCCCTATGCAGGCTCTTATTCTGTGCCCACATAACAGGACAGGAACTCAAGTTACACTCTGTGCCTATTCAGTCGAACATCATGTGTTGCTCTCGTTTGTCTGATTTTCTGATTGTGGAGTTATGTCTATACAATTGTGAATGCCCAAAATCATGGGTTTTCAAGACAGGAAAAATAATAATATTTCGCTGGCTGTCTTCCACTTTTCACTGAACTGGAACTCCTCGTAAGTAAACTCTGTCTCTCTTTTCTCTCTGTTCAGTTTCTGACAAAGAATACATCAAAACCTTTAATGACGAAAGGGAAAAAATGATTTTATGAAAAAAAAAACTAGTTGCAAGTCATGGTTTACAGTGTAGAATTAAAGCAGAAAACGTAATACTTCTGTTGAACTTGAGACTGAGTGACAACGAGAAGTACAGTACAATATAGAGATATCAAAATTGTAGCTATCACTTTGTGATGAATATTATTTTATTTGACATTATTCTCTGTTGAACTGGGAACAGTGAAAAATGGGAGAATCCTAAATCACTCCAATGAATTGTGAGTTTATCCCGCTTCAGCCTCACTGAGTCAAAATCCTATTTGTGCCCTATAAGCACAAGAAATATCCAAAATTGATCTGCATAAACATTTTTCTATTTAGTTTGGTTGAAAAAAGGAACCATATTGTGGAGAGAAGAAATATTACTTTTTATTATCTATGAAAATAATACCTTGAACTGTCTTCAAACAGTGAAGAGCAAGTTTGGCTCTAAATTCCTCCTAAATACATCATGCTCACATTTCCTTCAGAGAGGGATAAAATTCCTATAAAAATCTTGCTGAAGTGTCGGTCAGTTGCCAGCAGCACCCAAAACAACTTTATTTTGCTTCTGGAAATAAAAAGAGAGAGACCTCCTTTCCAGGAACTCATCTTGCGTTTTAATTGTTTGCGTTTTATTCCTGACTCAGAAGAAAAGGGACCCAGAGAAATTCTCCCAACACTCTCCTCATGACTTATGACCATAATTGGCAGGCTCCGTTACGGTTATAAGTTGAGGACCATCTATATAGTTATTCATAATTGTTTTTGGAATATTATCTGTCTATGATTTGCTTTGTACAATCAGGTGAGTACAAAATCCTACAAGGTTTATCACTGGGAGAATTCTAGACTATCAGAAATTATTTTACATGGAACAAGTAAATACTGAAGTCATAACATCTATTACAACACACAAAAAACCCTATTTTAAATTCATTTTTAAACTATTTAGGAAAGATGAAAGAAAGTTGTGTATGATTGTTAATTTTCACCATTAAAGGCAGTTTTCATTTAATTTAAGCCTGGGGGGGGGGGGAGAATGTACACATTCAACTTTCGGTTTCCCAAACAGTGACTACCTTTCAGAATGGCTTGGGGAGTATACATGAGGAAGAAGAAAAGTGAAAACCATAATAT